TCAGCAAATAATTGTTGTTATATTGTTGCTGGATACTTTTATTGTTTCCAAATTTTACCTATTATAAAGAGCACACACAAACAAGAGAGGAATATATACTTATGTGTAGAATTGCTGGAAAATGCCTATCTGTAACTTAAATAATGCCAAAATATATTCCAAAATGATTATACAAATTTACACTGCCACTAGGAATCCAAGACATTTCCTGTTACTCTACATCCTCAATAATACATACTGTCTTCACATTTTAAAATGTTTTGCACTCTGGTGGATGCTTAATGCTATTTAACTGTAGTTTGAATGTTTTAATTTCCCTGGTTACCCTTACATTTTATGGATCCCATTTTGATAACCATTTTGTGGGGGGGATTACCTGTTTTAAGTATTTCTATTGGGTTGTCTGCCATTTATTTCTGGTTAGCAGGAGTTTTTAATATGCTCTGGAAGATAGTCCTTTGATATTTATGTATGTTGCAAATATCTCCCTCTACTTTGTGGCTTGTCTATGATTTACCTTGCTGAATACATTAAGTATTCCATATTCTTAATTTTTTCCACATTCTCTCTGTCTTGGACTGAGAATGGTATGTTAGAATCTCCTTTTATTACTGTGTTACTATTTATGCTTATACCTCCTGTGGTTTCTGCTTTACGTGTTTCTATATGTTATTTGGCACAAAGTTGTTCTTATGTGAATATTATTACTTTTGCATTATGAAGCATCTTTCTTCAGCTCATTTAATGCCTTTTTGGCCTGAATTCTTCCTTACTGCATATCAAAATACTCTGCATTCTTTTTGTTTGCATTTATTTGATATTCTCCATTCTCGACTCCCCTCGTTTTTATCTGCCTGAGTCACTTTGTTTTAGATAAATCTCTTATGTACAGCCTAGAGTTGGGTTTTGATTTGTAAGCTAGTCTGAAAGTCTTTTTTATTTAGTTAGATGAGCTATGCCCATTTATATAATTAATATGACATGTTTAGTCTCAGATTTGTCATTTTATTTTATATTTACCATGTGTCTTCTACTATTTATTTGGGGGTTTTTTTTGTCCTCGTATTTAGAAAGATTTGTATTTTTGTTTTAATATTACTAACCTTTATAGTAATACACTTTAGTATTACTAACCTTTATAGTAATACACTTATGCTAGTATTTTTGGCCCCTCTTTTTTCCTTTTTTAAAAATTGATACTTCTGCTTTTGATTTGGTATCTCTAAAATTATGCTCTGACTCCTCCTTATTATATTCGAGGCAATCAGAAAACTTGTTCTACTTTCACCTTTTTCCCTCCCTTTTCTTCTCATTTATTTTCAGTTTGTGTTATTTCTACTTTGTCAAGCAATATAACATTTTTGTACTGTTCACTTAGTCCTATCCCCTCACTTTTGTTTTAGTCTCAGAACTATAATTAAATATGTTCAACACTTAACTGCCAATTATTTTGCAGAAGATTTTTCAGTGATTTCTTGGTTGGATGAAACTCAACCTATACTAGGAAAAGACCCTGAGCAAAATATTCCCTTAGTTCTTGCACATTTAAAACTTTCTCTAAAGCAAGGATGGGCAAACATGATGGTCTGCATCATGCTTAGTAAGGCCTGTGAGCTAGGAATGTGTTTTATGTTTTTAAAGAGTTGAAAAAAAGAGGAATATATGACAGAAACCATATGTGGCCCACACATATTTATTTACTCTCTGGCCCTTTACAAAAAAAGTGTGCTAATGCCTGCTCTAGAGCCTTCATACTTTACTACTTGAAGGATAGCTTGAATGGCTATAAAATCCTTGGCTTATTTCCCTTGAGTTTCTTGTAAATATTGCACTACTGATGTCTTGCTTTATATGTTACTATTTAGAAGTGTGCCAACTTGATTTTCTTTTCTTTGTAAACAGACTTGAGTATTTTTGCCTGGAAGGTCAGAGAATTCCTTTAATGTGTAATAGTTTTAGCAGGCTATATCTCAGTTGAGAATTGTAGGTCAGATTTTTCTAGGTACACAGTGGGCCCTTTCAATATGAAAATCAGAAATCAGACATTGTTTTATTTCAAGGATGTTTTCTAAAATTGTAATTTAAATAGATCTGTTTCATTGTTTTGTTTTGTTTTGTTTTGTTTTTCTTTCAGGGGTAACAATTAGTCTTATCTTAGATCTTGTTTACCTTTATATCTGCCACTTTCATTCTGATCCATTTTACTCTTTTCATTATGTTTCACTTTCTTGGCTCCTTTTATTTCTATTCTGTGTTTTTCTTACTATATATTTGGTCATATATGTTCCATCTTGGACACCTGCTAATTTATTCATTTCTGAGACAATTTCTTTTTCTTTATTTCTTGAGTTTGGTCAATTTTCATTTCACACCTTCCTATTTTCCATTTTTATTACAAATTTTAAAATTTCTGTTTTATAGTGTTCATTAATATCTGCAAATGCTTAGTTAATTATTTTTAATCTATGTTGGGAGCATTGTTAAGTTTTTCTCTGCTTCATGGTTGTGTTTGTTTTGATTTACTGCTCAGTTTTGAGGTTTTCTTCATAAGTAACTGCGTGAGTGCTAGATTATTTTACAGATGTTCATGTTTATTTGCATTGGATTTTTCCATTATCAGTAATAACAGGTGTTCTTACAGAGGAACAGGGAGTGAGTGGTGTTTTGGTGGCTTACTGTGTTTCTTAAATCAGGAGCACCCTCTTCTGTTACTGTAGTGAAATGCAGTTATTATTATTTTTTTAATTTTCATTTTAATTTTTTTGAGATGGAGTCTCACTCTCTTGCCCAGGCTAGAGTGCAATGGCACGATCTCAGCTCCCTGCAACCTCTGCCTCCCAGGTTCAAGTGACTTCTGCCTCAGCCTCCCAAGTAGCTGGGATTACAGGTACCCACCACCATGCCTGGCTCATTTTTGTATTTTTGTAGAGATAGGGTTTCACCATGTTGGCCAGGCTGGTCTCGAACTCCTGACCTCAGGTGATCTGCCTGCCTTGGCCTCCCTAGAAATGCAGCTATTTATGTTTCTTTTTTTTTTTTTATGTAAATGGGGCCTTTTGGGGAAATGGGTGTATTTTCTTTGGATTCTTTTCCACTAGCTTAGTTCAGTGGAGCTCTTGTCTTGGCTTTGTCTTGGCTATTTTCTTAGTTTTTCTTACCAAACTGGCTCCCAAGGACATATCTCCCTTCCAAAGCATTTTCTTCTCTCCCAGACGCTATGTCTTCCCATGATTACTGCCTCTGACTCCCTGTTTTTCAAATCCTTTCTTTTGAATTCCTCATAGAATCTACCAGGTTTTTTTTGTTTTTTGTTTTTTGTTTTTTGCTCTATTTTTCCACTTCAGGTAGAGCCCTCTCTTTCCAGACTAATTCGTGATTGGTATTTCCTATTATTTATGTACAGTGCTGACACATAGTCCACATCTGACTCTCTGCTCAGATGTGGGCTCCTGACCACACTCTGATCTAGTAGTCTTTATTTCCTCACTTATAGGTAAAGGATTCTGTGCCCAAGTTATGTTGTAGGCATAAATTTGGGTGGTTTTACTTGGCTTCTTTTTATGGTAGTTTGGAAGATTTGTGGAGCAATTCTAATATAGGTGGCTGCCATTATCCTGTGGGATCTCAACTCTATAACATAACAAAATAAATAAGCTAGAAAAATAATGCAGTACTCTGCCCTTTATCTATCATTCCAAGACCCCCCGTGGATGCCTGAAAACACAGATAGAACTCAACTCTATATATACTATATATACTGTATTTTTCCTATACATATATACCTATGACAAAGTTTAATTTATAAAGTAGGCCCAGTAAACAGTAACAAAAACAATAACTAATAATAAAATAGAATAATTATAACAATATACTATTATAAAAGTTACGTGACTGTGGTCTCTCTCTAAAAATATCTTATTGTACTGTACTGTGGGTAACTGAAAGCACAGAAAGTGAAACTACAGATAACGGGGACTAATTGTAAGACAAACAAAATAGAAGTGAGAGCTTGATGAAGATAAAAGTGAAAACTAATGAGGTACAGAAGCATAATTGAGAACAATTCAAGATCAATAAAGTGATAGTGGGACAAACATCAACATGGTAAGGCTTGAGGTAATTTATCAGAAAAGGGTAGATATTAGACTGTTCTCGCACTGCTATAAAAAAAAAAACCTGAGACTGGGTAATTTATAAAGAAAAGAGGTCTAATTGGCTCATGGTTCTGCAGGCTATACAGGAAGCATGGCATCATGTTTCTGGGGAGGCCTCAGGGAGCTTTCAGTCATGGTGGAAGGCAAAGGGGGAGCAAGGCTGGAGCAGGAGGAAGGGGTGGGGGAGGTGCCACACACTTTGTAAATGATCAGATCTCACGAGAACAAGATCTCACGAGAACAAATTCACTATCAGGAGAACAGTATCAATGGGGAAATTTGCCCCCACGATACAATTACCTACCACCAGGCCCCACTTCCAACAGTTGGGGATTATAATTCGACAGGATATTTGGATGGGTACACAGATCCAAATCATATCAGGTAGAAACACAAAAATTAGGAAAGATGGAGGCAATAGAAACACAAACACAGAGGAGATAAGATATATTAGAATAAAATGTAAAATTACATGCTAAAATTTGACATGTGACAGAACTACCAATTTTCTAAGCAAATATAATCAAAATTGACTCAAGATGAAAACAGTATCAGTAGCCATCTTAGAAAATATTTAAAGTTATCATAACAGGTAACTGAGACCGGAAATCATGTTTAGAAAGAAAAATAACAGTTTTTTTTTTAAATTTTAAGTTTGAAGTACTTGTATATAATGTCCAAGTAATAGAATACAGAGACTGGAACATGGAGAGAATCTGTAACTATAAATACAAAATGGAGTTCATCACCACTATGCAAAAAGAATGCATTATCAAATACCAATGGGCAAGTGAAAAAAGAATGTGACAGTCTAGCCGATCTTACTCATTTCATGTTTGCTTACAGATAGGTGAAAAAGAGTACATCACCCTACCAGATCACCCTTCACTTCATTGTCAACCTGTTCTTTCTTCAAGAATAATTGATATCTCTTTATTACCAACTGAAAGTAAGTATAGTGCAATCATAAGTACAGATGATTCTGTGAGGTAAAGTAAATAATGTTAATGGGGAGTTATTGTTTAATGGGTATAGAGTTTCAGTTTGAGAAGATAAGTTCTGGAGATGGGGTGGTGGTGGTGATGGTTTCACAACAATGTGAATGTACTTAATGCAGCTGAACTGTACATTTAAAAATAGTTTAAATGGTAAATTTTATTATGTAATATGTTCTACTACAATAAAAAAGTTAAATTATAGGAATTTTATTTTTATTTTTATTTTTTTTAGACAGAGTTTGACTGTGTTGCCCAGGCTAGAGTGCAGTGGCGCAATCTTGGCTCACTGCAACTTTCGCCTCTGGGTTCAAGCATTCTCCTGCCTTTGCCTCTGCGGTCACTGGGACTACAGGTGCCCACCACCACACCTGGCTAGGCTAATTTTTGTATTTTTAGTGGAGACGGGGTTTCACTATGTTGGCCAGGGTGGTCTCAAACTCCTGGCCTCAAGTGATCCACCGGCCTTGGCCTCCCAAAATGCTGGGATTATAGGCGTGAGCCACAGCACCTGGCCTAGGAATTTTATATTTATTACTACATATGTTTAGTCACTAACATTATTTCATTTTAAAATATATATTCTGGCCGAGCATGGTGGCTCATGCCTATAATCCCAGCACTTTGGGAGGCTGAGGTGGGTGGATCACAAGGTCAGGAGTTCGAGACCAGCCTGGCCAACATGGTGAAACCCCATCTCTACTAAAAATACAAAAACTAAAATATACATTTTCTATGTACAATTTAAGTACAATAATTTTGAATCCTGGATACATTTACCAAAAGAGTTAAACCAAAGCATATCAGCATAACTGCTTGAGCTTTACCTAGTTTCTACACATATATGAAATGCAGAAAAAAACACACTATTTTATAAATCCCCTTATATATCACTCTCGGAAACTAAAATGACTCCTTTGCATTTTCCACATGGTAAATGCTATACTGTAGCAAGAAAAACAGTTTGGGATAAAATTTATTCTTGCTGCTTTAGACATTTTTAAGTTTTACACTCCATATTTTAGGATATGAGCCATCTTTCAGCTTTGAGACATTGACGAATATGATTTATAATCTCTTTAGGAGAGAAGATTATCAAACAAATGAAACAAGTAAAGGAAGAAAGAAGGTATCTGGAAAGAAATAGAGAAGAACTAGTAAAAACAGTTGAAAAGCTATTTGAACAAAGCAAATTAAAACGATATCATGGTAAAGTTTATTACATACCTTTTATCACTATAAAGAAAACTTAAGTTTTACAGAATTAATCCTTTTAGAATAAATAAATTTATAATTAATATTTACTGTTTTACTATTTTAGTTTAAGTGGTACATGATTAAGTTCAATATAGAAAACATGAAATTATTATTCAACTCTATACAATAAATGCTTTACATAGGGTTTTTAAATTAAAACAAATATTTTCATAACTGAAACTCATTTACTTGTTTATTAATTCTTCTATTCATTTATCAAACCCCTGTTGAATCTGGCCACTATTCTAGGGGCTTAGGAAACACTATTAAGACAGACACAATCTTGTCCCTGCCCACATAGATCTTACAGTCCAGTGGGGAAATGATAAGCAAGTTAAGCATTAATGATACATCCTTGCCAGCGTAGTGGCTCATGCCTGTAATCCCAGAACTTTAGGAGGCCAAGGCAGGCAGATCATTTGAGGTCAGAAGTTCGAGACCAGCCTGGCCAGCATGGCAAAACTCCATCTCTACCAAATATACAAAAATTAGCCTAGCCGGGTGTGGTGGTGGGCACCTGTAGTTCCAGTGATTGCAGAGGCTAAAGCAGGAGAATGCTTGAACACGGAGGCGGAAGTTGCAGTGAGCTGAGATTGTGCCACTGCACTCCAGCCTGGGTGACAGAGCAAGACTCTGCCCCCAAAAATATATATATATTTTGTTATGTGTTATGTTCTACTACAATAAAAAAGTTAAATTATAGGAATTTTATTTTATTTTATCTGACTCTGTTGTCCAGGCTAGAGTGCAGTGGCATGATCTCAGCCACTATGATAAAGGAATTACACAGTTCTATGGATAGGAATATAAAGGAAGAACACCTAAATTAGATGGAAGAGATCAAGAGAGTCTTCCAGGAAAAGTGTTGGATATGCTAGGATCTGAAGTATGCTTCTTGGCTCTAGGTCTTTGGGCATGCTTTTCCCTCTGCCATCTACTTCTCCTCTTACCTTGAGGTACCCTCTTCCCAGTTTACCTGCCTATTTCCTGTTAGTCATTCAAGAGCACCTTATATATTACTTACTGTAGAAGACTACTTTGAGTCCCTTGGACTCTTCTGTACTTAATTTTTTGATATGTGTATGTGTCTGCCTTGCTTTTAAAAGTCAGTGAATGAGGGAAGTTAAGTAAGTTTTCTTGCAGTACAATTAGAAACAGTGTTGTTAGGACTGGTGGACTGATGAGGCAGGATGAAGACAGTACATGATGGTGGCTTGAGAGTTGCTAAATGATTTGAGAGGCCTCCGTTTTGGGTTGTGTTTGAGGATTGTAAGGATAAAAGGTATCTATGGAATTAAGTGGTTTTAGGATTCTCAATTTACAGCAAAATTGTTTCAACACTAGAACTGACTGAAGGTTATAGACAGTGTCAGGAGATATTTCTCAAGATTCTGCCTTACAATGTGTTATCCTGAAAGTGGTAGCAATGAGTCAGCCTTGTTGTAGTGTTAAACAAGCAATTTTATCAGACAGATTTGAACAGTGGACTGAAAATCACAGGACCAGGATTGTAACACCAAATCTGTCTTTTAGACAAGTTATTTCCCCTCTTTGTGCCTCACCTTTTCTGTTTATGAAATGGGAATGGTCCATCACTTCCTATTTCAACAGAAATATTTCAAGATAAAAGGTATGTATTGGCCATAAAATATTTATTGAGCCTACTACATGCCAGGCAGTGTTTTAAATGCTGGGGATACAGCAGTGAACAAGACAGACATGGCTGTGACCATAAGGAGCTTGCTTCCCTATGGGAAGAGACAGACAATAAACAAGTAAGACAATATTAGCTTTGATCAGAGCTGAGAATTCAATTAAAAAGAGCATAGTAAATAGTGATGAGGCAGGGAAGAGATGCTTTAGGTAGAATTTTCAGAGAAAGTATCTCTGAGAAGATTAAGATTTGATTAACAGGGAGGCAGTCACAAAGGGAACACTAAATATCAAGGTCAAGAAATAACAATGACCTTGTGGTATATTAAGGGCCTGAAATAAGACCAGTGCTGCTGAAACACTATGTAAGGAGAAATGTAGAGGGGGATGAAATCAGAAAGGTCAGCAAGGAATAGATGGGCCAAATCAAAGATTTTGGATTTTATTGTAAGCAAGGTAGGAAGCCACTAGAGGATTTTGAGCTAGGGATTTATATGATTTTTAAAAACATTTTAGAAAGCTCAGAATGACTGCTGTATAGAATACCCTGTACAGGGGCAAGAATGAAAGCAGACCAGTTAGAAAGAGCATGCAGATTTCTTGGTAAAAGATGATATTGACTAAGGATATAGCATTGATGAAGGTGGAATGTGCTAGATGCTAGAAGTATTTTGGCAGTAATACTGGTAGAAGTTGCTAAGGGATTGGATAATAGAGCATGAGATAAATAGCCAAAATCTTGAGCTAAAGTTCCATATAGCTATATAATTTTAATTAAATCACCTTATAAAGTAGAATTTTTAAATTTGAAATTTTTGTTTCTATGATAATCTAAAAGAAAGAAACTAAACAGATTCTGGTATACTGGCATATACTTTGTGTTCCTATTAAGTTTGTATTTAGAATCTCATTGGTGTCAATGCAATTTGTTAAACTGATAGTGTTTAATTTCTAATGATTAATTTTGGATTAGTTTTCCATAATCATGGGAAAAAGTAACATATACATATTACTTTTATAGTTATATATGTTATATGTATATATGTTATACTGTTTTATATATATATCTGTTGTATATTACTATATATAACAAGTATATATATTGCTTTTATAATATATATTACTATTAAATGTATTACTTTTAGATATATTACTTTTATAGTAATGTATATTACTATTATATATATATATATTTTACCATATTTCTACACAAGTTCTCTTATTATCCAAAAAACATTTCTTCCTCAGGTCTAATGACCTCAGTATATAAAGAAAGGAGAAGAGGAGAGAAAGAGAAAAATGGTTTAAATTGACATTAGCTCTAGGGTCCTTTCCAGGATGAAAAGTTGAATCCTTTAATATTCAAATGAAAGCCTTTGCTTTTTTTTTTTTAAATATATATAGCCTATGACGGTTGGAAGAAAAAATACTTGGAAACAAAGAAAGTCACAGCATCAGTGGAGGAGGTTTTAACAAAACTTCGAGAAGATTTGGAACTCTACTATAAACAATTGCTCATGCAACTTGAAGCCAGGGAGATCAAGATGAGACCAAAGAATCTGGCAAACATCACAGACTCCAAGGTATTACTAAATGTGTCCCCCTTCAATTAGAGAAGTTCTGTTCAAAACACATGCTTTATAAGTGCTAGTAATATCACAAGATGCATTGGGCTGACTTTGACTTAAACTTGCTTAAAACAATAAAAAAAAACTCATGACCTTATGTAATGGGAGGAGGATTACTGAGGAGATACAGTCAGCAGCTTAATGTTGCCTTTAAGGGGGCCTGATATTTCCTACCTATTATTTTCAGTGTTAATTTCATTGTAAGACTGCTTTTTCCAATGGTAGCAATAGAGTGGTCAATGGCAAGTAGGGCTTTATATCCCCAAACAAGGGAGAAACCTCTCTCTGAATCATGGAATATATAAATCTTTCCCTTTATCCTAGGTAAGGGATCAACTAGGCCTACCCCTGGATGAGAAATAGTTGCCAAGGAATGCTATATGCTGACTGACTTAGACTAATTAGGATTTACCTCTGTATCTGAGACAAGGTTCATTTCCTGACACTATGGGAAAGAGGCGAATACCTGATGAATTAGGGCAGGGGACAAACAGCATCTGCTATAATCCTGTTACTTGGTAGTGGCGGCGGGAGGACTTATAACACACAGGAATTTAAAGAAATTATGAAATTTTGTTCAGTTCTTTTTTTTGAGACAGCCTTGAATCAGAGACATGAAGTTTATTTTATTATTCCACCATGTAATTAAACAACAGACAAAAAAATTCAAGAGGGCATTTAACAATTTGATTTGGGTTAGATCAATCCCACTTATCCAAAAGTGATTTTAAAATATGTTAACTATGATTAAAAGTAAGCATTTAACTTTAGACAAGATGAAATATTAAAAGTTTATTACTTTAAATGAATTTAATATAAAATCCAAATAGGCTCAAGTAATGGTTTGTCCATAGTAGTTGGTACTTTTTTTTAGCATAGCTTATACTTTATCTTACTGTTTTATCAGTTCAATACAAGAATTTTTTCACAAAGCCAGTTTAAAACTCTTAAATAACTTCTTTAGAGAGGACCACTATAACTCATAAACTTTTCTGGACAAAAACCAAAAAGTCTTCTTATTTTAAATAGGTTTTCTTGTATTAAATGAGTTCTTGCATATAAAATATAGTATCATATTATTAAGTATTTTAAAATAATTCTAATCTGATTCAGCTGATAAAGCATTATGCCAATTTCTAAAGTCTTGCTAATATCTAAGATATTCCTTTCATAGTATTCCTTTCATAGTAATAGTTGTTGGTTTTTATGGTGCTAATTTAATGGTAACTTTAGAGAAAGTGTTCCCTAAAATTCGATAAATCAACAAAAACAAATAGTAATTTCTCCAAAGCAATTTAGTTTACTTTATGGAATAGGTTATTTTCATGATCTACTCTTTTGATATTTATCATTTCATAGTTTATGTTCCCAAGGCAGTTAAAAATAAAAATGTTTATGTGTTATACTAAATAAATGTCTATCTATGCACACAGAATTATCTGATAATCCAGATCACTGAGGTGCAGCATGCAATTGACCAACTTAAGAGAAAACTGGATACTGACAAAACGAAACTCACAGTAGAAGTTAAGGTAATTTACATTTTTCCTAATCAAATTATTATAATATTTATCTTGAAATAAAATATTTTGGTGTTTTAACTTTGGGTGTCAATAATATAAGGGTAGCAAGGATTGATTGTCTTAAAATCGTTATCTTAACAATAAAGAGCATGGGTGAAAAACAATGCAAGAAGTAAAACTAAATCCTGTGAAAAGATGCATGATATAATAAGGCCAAAGTAAAATTTAATAGAATTTTACTAGGAAGAATTAAAGGAAAAAGAACCTGTGAGTCAATATATTCTCAAAAAAAATTTTAAGTAGTTTTCCTGTATTAGAATTATTAAGTCTGATAAACCACTGAGCTCTTCTCTGAACTGACATTTAATTTTTCATGGGTAATCATTTAATTTTTTCTGGTTATTTTCATATGTATTATATTATTTAAATATGAATAATGTGACTTCTACTAGATGTTAAGTTTCCTTCCGGGCAGAAACTATGCCTTAGTTAACTTTGTTTCTCCCATGGGACCTTTTGTATAACAGATGCTTAGTAGAGGCTTCTGGGTATGCTTTATTTGGTGAGAATTGTGTACAACTAATTACATCATATAAATTATCTGTGAAGTACTGATGTATTAAAAAGCTTTTTTGTTGAACAGAAAACGGAAGAAGATTATACATTTTCACACAAGTACCCATAGCAAGGCAGGAAAATAAGAACGATAATTATATGCATGCTCTCATTTCTCTATCAGAAACAGCTTTATGACACAGGATAATGACTCTATTCTAGAATTAGCTCTTTTTAAAAAATTTTTAAAGAGAAAAAAGAAAATCAGTACTGTCCTGGGTTTCCAAAAAAAATAAAAATAAATAAGATTTAAAAATAAAAAAATAGAATTAGCACTGTCCAATAGCACTTATGTGATGATAGAAATATTCTATGCCTGCACTGTCAGATTGGTAGCCACTAGCCACCTACTGATATTGAGCACTTGAAATGTAGTTTGTGTGACTGAGGAACTGAATTTTAAATTTTATTTACATTTAGTAGTTACATATGGCAACTGGCTTCTACTATACTGGACAGTGCAGTTCTAGATTCTTTTTACAAGCAGCATTCTCGAGGCTAAATAAGCCCTGGTTTGGCACTGAGAAGCTTAAAACTTAAAATAGAAAAGGAAAAGAGCAGAGAATAATTTTTAACAAAATATCAGTTAAATTTGCATTCAAAAAAGTAATTTGTTCAATGAAGGAAAACTGTGTCTATTCCATATATGGAGATAAAGCTAATATGTAAACTTGTACACCAGAATAATTCGGTAGGTAGGAAGGAGTAATAAAATGCCCCCAGAGGCTTGGATTATGACTCCCCTCATGCCATTTTCTTCTGGAAAGCATGTGCATTACTTATAATCTTTGTATATTTTAACATTACAGATGTCACTCATGGTTTGAACCCAAATTAGAATTGTTCATACAAAAACAGTAAAGACAAGTGGAATAAGAGAAAAAAAAAGAGAACAAAGTTTTCAGCTTATAGGCTGGGGGGGAAAATCCTGTATTTAACCATAGTGCCTGATTGACACATAGACATTATATAAGAAGTTTTATTGATTTCTGAATGAGCTCCCTAAAACAGCCCTACCTATAAGATTCAGAACTAAGGGACAAAAAAAAACCTAGCCTGAGTCTCTTGCAACCATATTTATTCAAGATAGTATAGCATAAGTAGTGCTTCTCAAAGTTTAATATGATATCATCTGAAGATCCTGTTTAAAAATGCAGGGTCTGACTCAGTAGGTCTGGGTGCAGCCTGAGATTCTTCCTACCTAACAAGCTCCCAACTTATGCTAATGCTGCTGTCCACTGACAACACTTAGAATAGTAAGGGCTCTGGTACCAGGTGGTCTGAGTTTGAATCCTGGCTGAACCCACTTCACTTACTAGTTTTTTATCTTGAGCAAGTTACTTAGCCTCTAAAGGCCTCCATTTCAACTGTAAAATGGGGATAAATACTAATAAGTATCTGATTCTATAAAATTTTTGAAAAAAAAATAGACTAATACACTTAGAATGAGTGCTTGCCACAGAGTAAACAGTATATTTCTTAAATATCTCTTCAGTTCCTCAGGGCTAGAAATTAAGCTTTTTTGTATTTTGTTTTCTTGTTGTTTTCACTATTTTCTTTATACATTGAGAACAACAGGTTTTGAAGTTTAAACAAAACATAAAATTCTTTCTGTATTTTTTAGAACAGTTCAATTGTATTGTCCCTATATACTCATAAACAAGGTTATCTTATAGCATATCTAGTCAGTAGATAGGCATGCTTATTAAAACAGCATTCATAATCTACACATTTACTGTAGTAATCCAGTGGAAGTCAAACCACTGAAGCCAAATGAGAGAAGACAGTTAAAGCAGTTACAAAAACCCTATTTACATAACAATTATGATGTACTTTTAGAAGAGTATGATGAAGTTCATTTTTGAAAAGTAATTCTTTTTATAGATGAGAAAACAAGCAGTTTCAGATTTACGAACATTGAAAACTGAACTGGCACAGAAAAAAAAAATAATACATCTCTACAATCTCAATTAGGTATGTTAATTTAAAACTTTTATTTATGAAAAAATTTAAATATTTATTTGAACAGATTTGTTTAACCACTATTCTCCTTGGCAATGTTTTATATAAAGCACAAGGTTTCTCTTTCTGCACTTTCCATGTGGGTGTTATAAAATGTTTCAGGAAATATTAGATGTAATATAAAGCGAAATGATGACTGGTTATTTTTAACATTCCAAGTATTTTGCATATTATTTTACAGTGCTAATTTTATAATTTTCATTTTTAATAATCTTAAAAGGTAAGAGCTAATATAACTATAAAATCTATTTGCAAAGAATAAATGTGTATTAATGAATACTAATATATTTGCATGAAAATACAGACTTCATTTAACTTAATTTGTTCACTATATCTTAATTAAAAGAAATCTGGCAATACAAAAGAATAGGGGGTATTGAACTTCCATTCTGAGCTATGATAAAGATAAGCATCTAAGAATTTAAATTTTTTAATTCATTTATTTTAGAAATATGAAGACAATAGTGGTCCAACATATAGTATGAAAATGGTTGATTTTACTCTGTCACAAACAATTGTGTAAATAGGAAATGTAATATTCTCATAACAGATGGTTCAATCATCATTTATTCCAATTTACAGGGGGAAAATGTGCAGGGAAGCCAGGATTTATGTAAATCTAGAGTTCAAAGATACAGATTTTTAAATCTGTAATTAGGAACTAATAAGGGCAGCACAATGTTGTTAATTCCCTGGAGAAAGAAAACAGACTTTATTACATTTAGAAAAGTTATTTGTATAAAATTGATCTTTTAGAAAGAGAACTAGTTGAGAAGCTAATCATTGTCTTTAGATCATTAAAAATACAATGCAGCTCATGCCTGTAATGCCAGTTCTTTGAGAAGCCAAGGCAGGATGAGTGCTTGAGCCCAGGAGTTGGAGACCCACCTGGGCAACATAGCAAGACCCTGTCTCTCTACAAAAAATAAAAATAAAAAAGATACATTGCAGATGCAGAAAGAAAAATTTAACCTTGTAAAGAAAGCTAGCCAAGAAATAAATTATACATGTCCATAAATGAAGGAATATGAATAATTAGAAGTGTGACAGTGAATAGAATCAAGTTCAACTGCAAGTTATTCCTATTATAAAAATTTTACGGATGAACCTCATAAAAATAATGTAGTTGGAAAATATTAGGTAGTTCTAACTTACCAATTCAAAATATTACTGTTATATTCTTGTATTTTGTGAATACATTTAATCTTCTGGATTCTTTTTAATTTTCACTCACTGTCCAAAGGTTTAGTTCAAGTACCTCAGAGAACATAAATACTATATGGGGTCAGGAAGCAGAAAAATTATTTTCATCAGTTTGATGAACCTAAAGAGGAGACACTAAATTGTAGGTTTTAAATTTAAGATTTATTGGAGGGATGGGGGAAAAGTATAGCACAAACTGCTTTTCAAAGACTAGGTTTTTAAAAACTCTAAGCAAACAATTTCCACTTCAGATTATACATATTTTAAAAATCAACATTGATTCATAAGCTTATATTTTACTATAATGAAGGGAAATATGGCATAATAAAATTCTGAAAGCGATTTTTCCCAATTAAATTATAGTGTTGAAACATCTAATAGAGGAATACTTAACAGGTAAAGTTGACTTGTTTCTTGCCTTTATATTCCTGGATACTGATGACATTCGTATATATTTTTCGAATTCAAACAATCAACATTACTTTATTCTTTTTTTAGTATACCAATAACAAAAGTATATAGCAACATAACAAAAATGCAAGAAACTAGATCTATTTATACAGATCATTTTTCTAAATCTTAATGGTTTGACAAAAGATGTTCATCTTTGTAACAGCTTTGGCTTTAAGACTTCCCACATTTCTTCAGTTTGCTGTTTGGCTACAGCATCTCCAGAGTAGTCAAGACAGTTTGCATTCCACATGCCAATGCCCCGTAAGCCATAGTTTTGTATATATGTTGCCTTTAAAGAAATACTGTGAGGGTTATCATACCATACTTGATGAAAGTGGCCAGCAGGATCCTATATAAATAAATTAAAATGGAGATTTTAAAGTATTTAGTACAATTCAGCACCATAGGAAAGGGAAAAATAAAAGAAGTATACAGTACAGTAAGAGGGAAATGCTCTGGTCCTCTACAACCAGCTTATGTGCTTTTTTGTATTCTCTGTAGTTGCTAGAAGTGTGCCTAGCTAGGAGCTCTACAGAAGATTTTGTTTATGATGAATCAGCCAGATCAAAAGGTAATGGCAATGGAGGAGAAAAGTACATCCTTTTCTAGGTCCTAAGGATTCATTCTAAGAGTCTGTTAGGTCTGCCCTTCATTGGTGACTTAACACACACCTGATTATGAGCCATAAATTAGATTCTGGTCTTATGCTCACCTTCCACCCTAAAAAGTCCTTCTGCCCAGAATCAAATACCTATATTTAAGTACTAACACAGTCTCTCTCGGGAGGCATATGAGCTATTGGATAAGAGACAAAGGAAAAGGGAAAGGAGATCTAGGACAAAGTGCAAAGGAAGGTGAAAAAGATAGGAGATAAAAAATAGAAAGATCTGTGACTAAAAATAATTTACTTATTTTTATATACATCTAGGAAACTCCTTAAAGACATTTCTGAATTAATGCCAGTAATATTTACAGCATCTCTCCTGGAATTAGAATAGTCTCTTAAGAACATGAAGTATAATTAAAAAAAAAAAAAAAAGCATAAAAAAGAAGATTACTTTGGGGCCAGGCGCGGTGGCTCGCGCCTGTAATACCAGCACTTGGGGAGGCCGAGGCAGGCAGCTCATGAGGTCGAAAGATCAAGACCATCCTGGCCAACATGGTGAAACTCCGTCTCTACTAAAAATACAAAAAAATTAGCCGGGCTTGATGGTGCATGCCTGTAGTCCCAGCTACTCTGGAGGCTGAGGCAGAAGAATTGCTTAAACCCGGGAGACGGAGGTTGCAGTGAGCTGAGAACATGCCACTGCACTCCAGCCTGGAGACAGAGCAAAAAAAAAAAAAGACCACTTTGAAGGAAAATAATTCACCTAGTAAATGAATACACTGCAGTATATTTAAATATAGTAGACTAACTGTAATCAAGCATATCTCAGTCTATATCTTATATTCCATTCTTTAACATTTTTAGAACTAGACAAAGCCATGCATGCTCTACTAATAGCTGTGATTCATTATTTAAAGGCAACTTGTAGAACTTGTACTTAAATATGACAGATTGTTGAAGATTCAGGGGCAAACACAAAGACATATACCTTTGAATTTTGCCATCATTCTAGCTAGTACTTTGAGACTTTTTGATATTATTAAGAAATTCAAATGTCTCAAAATTGTGAAGGATCAAAGGACAAAAACTAAGCACATGTAAGACTAATTTATGCATAGTTAAGGCATATTTGCTTTCCAGAGTATTGAGTCCAAAATGAGCTGCTATTGCTGAAACAGCCCAATAGAATGATTCTCTTCAAACAAAACAGAAACTTGATTCATGTTGCTATAGAATTTTGCAATTAATAAAAAAGAGGGGCCAGGCGCGGTGGCTCACACCTGTAATCCCAGCCCTTTGGGAGGCCGAGGTGGGCAGATCACAAGGTCAGGAGATCGTGACCATCCTGGCTAACACTGTGAAACCCCATCTCTATTAAAAAAAAATACAAAAAAATTAGCCGGGCGTGGTGACGGGCGCCTGTAGTCCCAGCTACTTGGGAGGCTGAGGCAGGAGAATGTCGTGAACCTGGGAGGCGGAGCTTGCAGTGAGCCAAGATCAAGCCACAGCACTCCAGTCTGGGCAAGATAGCAAGACTCCATCTCAAAAAAAAAAAGAAAAAGGAAGGAAACAGTTATAACTAGATTTTTTTTCTAAAGTGGCATTAAATGGCCTTCAATGCTCACCAAAATGTTTCCTGAATTCTAAGACCTTAAAGAATGTCATGGAAACCTTCATGGAAACAGGGTAAAAAGGTGGTACCAGAGGCTGGGGGTGGGAAGAATAGATGTTTCAAAGGACACAAATTTTCAATTAGACAGGAACAATAAATACAAGAGATCTACTGTATCCCATGGTGACTATAGTTAATAACAATGTATTATGTTGAAAATTCCTAAGAGAATGGATTTTAAGTGTTCTCACCATTTAAAAAATGGTATGTGAGGTAATACAAACGTTAAATAACTTGATTTAGCCATTTCACAATCTATAGATATATCAAAACATCATCTTGTATGCCATAAATATAGATAATTTTTACCTGCCATTTAACTTTTTTTTAATTTAAAAAAAAAAAGAGGCCAAGTGCAGTGGCTCACACCTGTAATCCCAGCATTTTGGGAGGCCAAGTCAGGAGAATCACTTGAGGCCAGGAGTTCAAGACCAGCCTGGGCAATACAGAAAGACCCCGTCTCTACAAAAAGTAAAACAATCAGCCAGGCATGATGGCACATGCCTATGGTCCTAGCTATTTGGTAGGCTGAGGCAGGAGGATTGCTTGAGCCTGGGAGGTCAAGGCTGCAGTGAGCCATGATTGTGCCACTGCACTCCATCCTGGGTGACAGAGGAAAACCTCGTCTAAAAAAAAAAAAAAAAAAAAGACTGTGTTCCTGCATTTTCACATTCATTAAGGAAAAAACAAGCCACAGATTACTAAGATCAGGATTACAAAGAAACAGTATATGGCAATATATACTGTCCTAAGATTCTATGTTAAATATTTTTAAATTACAGGCATACCTCATTTTATTGTACTTTGTTTTGTTGTGCTTTGCAGATATTAAATTTTTTGCAAATTGAAAGCTTATGGCAACTCTGTTGAACAAGTCTGTTGGTGCCATTTTTCTAACAGCAAGTGCTCATTTTGTGTCTCTGTGTCACATTTTGGCAATTCTTAAAATATTCCAAACTTTTTATTATTATTATATCTGTTATGGTGATCTGCAATCAGTGATCTTTGATGCTACTATTGTGATTGTTTGTGGGCACCATGAACTGTGCATGTAAGACTTAATAACAATATTTGGCTGGGCACGATAGCTCACACCTGTAATGCCAACACTTTGGAAGGCCAAGGTGGGAGGAACACTTGAAGTCAGGAGTTTCAGACCAGCCTGGCCAACATGGTGAAACCTCGTCTCTACTAAAAATACAAAAACTTAGCCGGGCCTGGTAGGGCATCCCGATAATCCCAGCTACTTGGGAAGCTGAGGCACAAGAATCGCTTAAACCCGGGAATCAGAGGTTGCAGTGAGCGGAGGTTGCAGTGAGCTGAGATCGTGCCACTGCACTCCAGCCTGGGTGATGGAGCGATACTCCATCTCAAAAAAAGAAAAAAAAAAAAGACTTAATAACGATATTGAAATTAGACTAATAACCTTACAATGGGAATTTTGCAATGAATAAAAAAGAGGAAGAAAACAGTTATAACTAGATTGTTTTCTAAAATGACATTAAATGGCCTTCAAGGCTCACCAAAATGTTTCCTGAATTCTAAGACCTTAAACAATGTGTTAGCCTGGTGCAGTAGCCCGTATGTGTAATCCCATGCCTTTGAGAGGTCAAAGCAGGCGGATCACTTGAGGTCAGGAGTTTGAGACCAGCTTGGCCTACATAGTGAAACCTGCCTCTACTAAAAATATAAAAATTAGCCTGGCATGGTGGCGGGTACCTGTAATCCCAGCTATGTGGGAAGCTGAGGAGTAGAATTGCTTGAACCCAAGAGGCAGAGGGTGCAGTGAACCCAGATGGTGCCACTGCACTCCAGCCTGGGCGACAAAGCAAGACTCTGTCTCAAAAACAAAACAAAACAAAACAAAACAAAAACAAAACAAAGAAAAAAAGAAACTAGAATCCCTCTTCCCTAAAATGGGTCAAAGAAACCAGAGCCTCTTTTCCCCAAAGCCAGCCATAAAGTCTAAAACTGTTACTCTAACCTTTCCTACCACCACCTTTCTGTGTACTAGCTGGCCATAAAGAAATTAAGACCCTCATTCTAGAGAGGTCCTACCCCATACCCATGAGAACAAATCCTTCGCAGGGAGAGGCCAAGAAAAATCTGAACAGACAGACCTTGCTGAGTTTTCCCACTCAGTCCATTTGCATTAGCTCATGCCCTTTATTCTGATCACAGTTCTACATAGCTGTCCATACTTCGTTGAACCTACGCACAAAAATGGACAGTTTTTCCTGCATCTTTGGGTTTTCATTCTGAAGACTCTCATGTCGTGTAAAATTATGATCAAACACATTTTAAAAGGCAGAGATCTCTTTCTTCAAATAAATCTTATATTGGAAGAAGATGATGCCATTTAAGACTTTCCTAGCTAGACAGGAGAAGTCAATACCTGGCTTTAAAGCTCAAAGTACAGGCTGACTCTCTTGTTAGGGACTAACGAGGGTGGTAACTTTAAGTCGAAGCCAGTGTTCATTTACCATTCCAAAAATCCTAGGGCATTTAAGAATTATGCTAAATTGACTCTGCCTGTGATCTATAAATGGAATAAACAGCCTGGCTCACAGCACATCTGTTTACTGAATATGCAAGTCTGCTGTTGAGATGTACTACTCAGAAAAAAAAGAGATTTCTTTCAAAATATTACTGCTCATTGACAATGCACTTGGTCACCCAAGAGCTCTGATGGAGAATACGAGATGAATGTTATTTTCATGCCTGCTAACACAACATCCATTCTGCAGCCCATGGAACAAGGAGTAATTTCAACTTTTATTAATTAAGAAATAGATTTTGTAAGGCTGTAGCTGCCAAAGACAGTAACTCCTTTCATGGATCTGGCCAAAGTAAACTGAAAGCTTTCTGGAAAGGATTCACCATTCTAGATGCCATTAAGAACATTCATGATTCATGTATGGGAGGATGTCAAAATATCCATATTAACAGGAGTTTGGAAGAAGTGGGTTATAACCCTCATGGCTGACATTGAGGGGTTCAAGGCTTCAGTGAAGGAAGTAACTGCAGAGGTAATGGAAACAGCAAGAGAGCTAGAATTGGAGGTGAATCCTAAATATGTGACTAAATTACTACAACCTCATGATAAAATTGGAATAGATGAGGAGCTACTTCTTATGAATATGCAAAGAAAGTGGTTTCTTGAGAATGGAATCTATCCTAGTAAAATGCTGTGAACATTGTTCAAATAATAGCAGAGGATTTAGAATATTCCATAAACTTATTAATAAAGCAGCAGCAAGGTTTGATAGGGTTCACTCCAATTTTGAAAGAAGTTCTACTGTGGGTAAAATGCAATCAAATAGCAACATGTTCTACAGAGAAATCTTTCGTGAAAGGAAAAGTCAATTGATATGGCAAACTTCACTGTTGTCTTATTTTAAGAAATTGCCACAGACACCCCAACCTTCAGCAACCACCACCCTGATCAGTCAGCAGCCATCAATGTCGAGGCAAGACGCTCTTCCAGCAAGCAGGTTATAACTTGCTAAAGGCTCAGATGATCATTATCATTTTTTAGCAATAAAGTATTTTTAAATTAAGGTATATATGTTTTTTAGACATAATGCTATTACACGCTTAACAGACTACAGTATAGTGTAAACATAACTTTTACATGCATGGGGAAACTAAACATTCATGTCACTTGCTTTATTGCTATATTTACTTTATTGTGGTGGTCTAGAACTGACCCTGCAATATCTCTAAGGTATGCCTGTATATGTACTTGGTTACCATAACTTTTAACAAACTATATATCCATGAAACACTGTTTCTAAGAACTGCATGTTTCTAAGAATGCTGTGAAACAAGATTCTACGGCAAACAATTAAACTGCCTTATGTATTACAGCACTTCTCAAATCCATTAATATAATGATTGTTATAAATCTCCAAGAGGGGCTGACAGTATATAGTGTTTTTCTAAATATATTTGGCCATGGCACACGTGTGTATATTTTGCACACAGGTGCATCTGTGTGTGTAATATTAACAGTTCCCAGGACAGACTAATATAAATACTGTTTAGGAAAGGTAAGATTACAATACACTCTAGTTTCACTAATAGGTATATACCTTCAGTTCCAAACTTTAGAAAGCTCTACACTAAAGCTCTCTGTATAGCTGATATACAGGAATACACATGTATGTCAATTATAATTTATGACATGTAGTGTGTTTGCAGTCATTTTTTATAAATGGGTACCAGACCATTAGTTAAGAATATAAATCCTTGCTGAAATTCACTTCTATCATTTTAGTACTCCTTTTAAAGTAACATAATCTGAAATAAATTCAAAGAGGATTTGTACTTAGATTTTTGAGCCGTGGAAGAGCCTTTATAATGCTAATGGTAAATTATGAAAACTATAACTTTTCTTTGACACTTTGGTATAGCAATTCCTATTAAACACTACTTGACAGAATTGCTAATTATTTGGTGTAATTCTTCAGGTTTCCTTATATAATATTTTTGTAATTTTTGACATTGCTTATAATTTAATTATAAAATAAATTGAAAATGATAGTTTTTCCATTGTAAAGTCGATTATGACACCTCTTCTGTTTTCACCCTCATTCCCCCCTATGTTAAGAGTCTCATCAGAATCTGTAGGCCACTTTGAAATGGAGGCTTTCAGAGATAGTAACCTATTTTGGCCCAAAACCCTTTCAAAATCAACAGTCATCCTAACATAATTGTCAACTATTACAGAAATCCTGTTTGTGATATGCACATTTTTATGGGATCATCTAAATGACAAGTGGCCCAAGCAGAGTAGATTCACTATTAGCAAAACTCCAGTTGCTCACCAGGGAACTAAAGTTCCTGATTACAGATTCAAAGACAAGTTTACTCATGTAAACAGCAGTCTGCATGTTATACCCTAAAAGAAAACTGACAGATATTCTTGATATCAAACATCTAATTATGAAAATAATTATGAAAACTAACAGAATAAGTGCTCATAACTTATGAAAAATCTTACTTTATAGTTATAATAAGGAGCCTGCTGATCTTTATCCCATTGGTTTCCAGAAATAGAACTATTTATTTGCTTCATGATCGTTTTGTAGGGCACCTGACGTCCTGCAGCATCACTACAAGGAGCCCCCCGGAAAGGGACTTTTGCAATGGTACAAACATGATCCTAGAAATGCAAAAGTACTCATGTTACAGATGATCAAGTATGCAATTCTTAAAAGCCAAATCAAAAATATATAAATTATTTAGAAATAAAACATATACCATAAATAAATAACCTGACTATACAGAATAAAGGTTAAAATAAATTTCATTATTAAATGAAAATGTATGATAATCATAAGCTTTCATAGAAGTAAAAATAATTTTTATCTCAAACTATATTTCAGAAATTCTAAAGTTTATATTTTCTAATGAAAACAGAGAGAATCTAAAAAATATAATAGAGAATAAAAATTATGTAACAAATGACTTGTTCCTACCTCAGACAGATTCAGGCAGGTATAATCATAACCATACCAGGGAACACCCATTACAAGTTTCTTAGGATTAATGCTCATCTTGATGTAGTCATTATATCCTATTCAAGCAGGGAGAGAAAAAGCATATTTGTTTCTCTTCATATGTCAATGTGTTCATACAAGCTATGCAACCGTTCAGAATCTGTTTGTAAAAACAAGCACATTTATAAAAAAACACTAATAATGTTTAATATGATGTTATAAAACATCCTTTAACAACCATAAATTGTATATCTTGCTTTCTAAACCATTTCTCTTTGAATAAGAGAAAACATTAAAAACCATTAAGATAATATTGAAATAAAATATTCACAAAATCTAATTCTAGGAATAATGACACATTTCAGGAAAGTATGCTAATTGTATCTATTAATTGCTAAGACATGATATACTTGATACTCTAGATTCTAAAGTTTCAACAAAGTTTTATAAATCTTAACTTTCTAGCAGTGATTGTCTCAGAGTTTCTTAGAAAGTACAAGTGTTCCATGTTTTGCAAATATTCTATAAGTATGAATGATAGCTGGGGATAAGAAATGTGTCATCTATAGTTGGAGGAAACAAACAGAAAAATTAACAAATACCTAGAACTATCAGTCCTTTTCTTGCCCAATGCTGCAAAACATGTTTTTTCACCAAGACATGCAAATATTCTATAAGTATGAATGATAGCTGGGGATAAGAAATGTGTCATCTATAGTTGGAGGAAACAAAGAGAAAAATTAACAAATACCTAGAACTATCAGTCCTTTTCTTGCCCAATGCTGCAAAACATGTTTTTTCACCAAGACATATTTACAGATTATCTAGAATGTTGAGGTAAATAACTTTGTTAGTTTTTAGAGCCTTTAATGTTATTATATACTATTAAATAACCAAAAATGGGGTGGGGTATGCCTCAGTTCCCAAACATATTGGTTTAGTTTGTTCGTTGATTTATTTATGATACAAAGTATCACTATGTTGCTCAGGCTGGCCTGAACTCCTGGCCTCATGTGATCTTCCTACCTCAGCCTCCCAAGGCTTGAACCTTTTATTGATAGAACATAATTATCATATCTTTCCTGAAACACAGTTTGGGAACCCTCAATTAATAATTACTTCATAATTTTAACAGAATAACTTATTTTTCAACTTTAAATAAATATGTGGCTAGGCACAATGGTTCATGCCTGTAATTGAAGCGCTTTGGGAGGCTGAGGTGGGAGGATCACTTGAGGCCAGCCTGGGCAACAAAGTATGACCCCATCTCCTTAAAAAAAAATCTTTTTTAAATTAGCTGGGCATGGTGGTGCATGCCTGTATAGTGAGGCTACTCGGGGGCCTGACCTTGGGGGGTCACTTGAGCCCAGGAGGTCCAGGTTACAGTGGGCCATCATAGTGCCACTGCACTCCAGCATGGGCAACAAAGTACGACTCTGTCTCAAAAAAGAGAAAAATGAAAATGTTAGCTGGGCATGGTGGCATGCACCCATAGTCCCAGTTACTCAGGAGGCTAAGGCTGAGCTCGGGAGGTTGAGGCTGCAGTGAGCCCTGATCTTGCCACTGCACTCCAGCCTAGGTGACGGAGTGAGACCCTGCGTCAAAAAAATAAAAATTAAAATTAACAAAAGAGCGAGCAATCTTTTATTTAGTTGACTGATGGAATACAAACCAATCCAAACTTTGAAGAGGATAATGCAAAGACTACATCATACGAATGACAGGTCAAAAGTACTCCAATTCTAATAGGAATATAATTTTTAATTTATCACAGATACTAAAAGAAGTTAATGCCTATCTTATTAATCATGAAATGAAGGTACCCAACCATAACTATCTTTGCTATTATGTAACACTGGTTATTTCAACAAAAATATCCTGTCAAATTCTAGATAAACATGTGATTTCATGACAAGAATACTGGACCAGAAATGAGAATACCTGATTAAGCCCCAACTATATAATACTTAATAGTTACGCAATCATGAGCGGTTAATTCTTTTTATCTCATCTAGAAATATACCTATACCACAAGATTGTTGGAAGAATTAAGTGAAAATCAAAACTTTAAAACTTTTTGTAAACTTTAAAGTTTTCAATTAAGTGATTTTTAAATGTTTGAAGCAAGCTTTACAATTGAAAAACATATACAAATAACTTAGAAATACTGAAAACAACTTAATATTTTAATTTCTAGAATATTACTATTATTATTAATAAATGAGCATGTTTAGAGTCTTACCAGTTAATGTCTGATTATAGGGAGCATTGGCTGCTGCAATACATTCCGACCAGATCTGACTTTGTTCATCATAAGACATCACAAAGAGGAAGTCACAAGCATCTGCGATTCCAGTATAATTATAGCATCTTCTGTCTATGTTCTTTGGAGACCAAGCTACATCAAAGGTTACCTGTGGAAAAAAATCTTACTATTTTATGTAACATGATCAAATATGCATATTATGTCAGATTTTTAAACTTATATATATTTTTACCTTATACTACACAAGGAAAAAGCTTACAGTATATGAATGTAGGGTTTGACACACAGAGAACTTGAACCATTCTAAGAAATATTTTTTGCTTACACTTGACTGAGTCAGACATATATTTGGACATACAGGAGCAGGACACTATATAGAAGATGGCCTTCAAACTCAAAATGTCTTCAAACGCGAGGCTGGTACCTCAGCTGATTAAAAGAAGCACGTATAATGACAACAGGGTATGGTGATGCCCCTGAGCAATTAGAGAGTAAAGGCACACTAAAAGAATTCAAATACAAAAGTTTTAAAAATATTATGCAGGTTAAATATGTCACCTGTTGGCACAACCTGATTGGGTTGCAAGTTTCAGCCCGTGATTCACAATCACCTTATATGGTAGGTTTGGCCCAATATTAGTTAGACAATAATGGTGTCTTATGGCCACAGGTATAGATTAATCAAGTCAAAATGTTGAACAAATCATTTAAATGATCTTATTTTATGGAAATATTCAAATAAATGTTGAGTAATATATTATCTTCCTTTTTTTTTCTTTTTTTTTTTTTGAAATGGAGTCTCGCTGTGTTGCCCAGGGTGGAGTGCAGTGGTGCGATCTCGGCTCACTGCAACCTCTGCCTCCTGGGTTCAAGCAATTCTCCTGTCTCAGCCTCCCAAATAGCTGGGATTACAGGCATGTGCCACCACGCCCAGCTAATTTTTTTGTATTTTTAGTAGAGACAGGGTTTTGCCACGTTGCCCAGGCTGGTCTCAAACTCGTGACCTCAGCTGATCTGCCGGCCTCAGCCTCCCAAAGTGCTTACAGGCGTGAGCCACCGCACCCAGCTTTATCTTTTATTTTGAATAGTGAGCCAGCCTTCAACAAGAATATGTCTCTTTATGTTTATTGCCTTAATGAAGTATTAATTAGCCTTATTTTATATGTGTACAAATGTTCTAAAACTTCATTAAAGGTTGTTTTCCCCCCTTAATTGGGCACTCAATAAATACTGATTATTTTAAAAACTGAGATACTTTAGGTAACATTTTTATACTTTGAACAATTTATTCTAGCAAAACTCTTTTTAGGACTTCCTCAAAGTTATCTTTATAATTCCCTGAGTATTAGCACTTTACAATTATAAGCTTTGCTCAATAGTTTTCCAACAAAATAAGTTATGAAGTAAAATTTTTACATATTGGATCCTATTTTATTACTGCCTCCTATTACCAAATGAGAGCTATATTATAGTAATAGAGAAAAATAAATGACTACATCTAAGCAAGTAAATTTCAAATCCATTTTGTAAGAGTATTTTCACCAGCATTTTCTCTCAAGTTAATCTCATATTTTTGAGAAGGTACTATTATTATATTAGACAAGAAAGCAAAAGACTTGGGTGCTAGTGTCAGCTCTGTTATAATTAGGTCTATATCACTGCTAGGTCACTTAAAGCATCTGCATTTTTCCCGCCTATAAAAATGAGGGTATAGAAAGAACTCTTTAAGGCATTTATTTCTAACTCTTTAATTCTGTGACCACAATTCTGTAAACTAAAGTTACTATCTTATCCCCAAAACTAATTCCACCTCTAGATTCTCTAGTCATTTTTTGTTGGTTACCAGTTTAAAAACTCTGGGGCTACTTTCTGATTCTTTCTTCCCTTACTTCCAAAATCTAACCTCACGTCTCCCTTTGGGTGGCCTCTCACAGTTGTTCTGCCCCTTCCTTTCCATTAATTAATTTATTTAATATGTATTTATTGTACACCTGCTGATTTAGGATTATGTCATCATCCAAATCAAACTAAATCCCTCGATACTGTATTGTTCTGTTAGTAGTCCTTACTGGTCTTCCTCCTTCTTCTAGTTTTACATACTCCTACAGAATAATCTTCCCAAACACTATTTTACACACATAACCCATTACACACAGAATAAAATGCACAGTCCTCAGCCTGACATTCTGGATCTTCCACAATCTGGCCTACCTTTGTAACTGTCCCTCCCACTAAGTCACCTAACATGAACTTGACATGTAGCCCAAAATGTTCTCCTCACCTCTCAAGAGATGGAAAGAGATATTCCTACTGCAAGGATTTTGCTCAATCTCTTCCTCTCTGCTCTTTCACTACAGCTTAATCAGGATTGTCAAATAGGTTGTTTCCCATATATTCCATACATCAATTCTAACCTATTAGTAATGACTATCTAGAGAATGAAGGAAAAGTTTCTGAAGCCAAAATGTGTGAGGAGGAGAAGGGGTATGGTGGCCTGTATGCCAGGCATTTGCTATTCTTAATCTACATTGTACTCTCCTGACAAGTTGAATTCCATACTGACAAATCTTCCCTATTTGCATAAAACCATAGAAATGTCAGTCTTCATATTGCTTATTATTTTACCAGTAATTCTCAAATTATTTTACCTGTAATTCTCAAATTCATGATGACCAACTCTACCAGAATCACCTAGAACACTTTGCAAAAATACAGTTCTCTAAGCTCTATCCCAGACCTACTGAGTCAATCTCAGTGATATGGTTTGGATCTGTGTCCCCGCCCAAACCTCATGTTGAATTGTAATCCCCAGTGTTGGAGTAGGGCCTGGTAGGAGGTGACTGGATTACAGGGGCAGATTTCCCCCTCCAGTGCTGTTCACGTGATAGAGTTCTCACAAGATCTGATTGTTTAAAAGTGTGTGGCACCTCCCCACTCTCTCTCTTGCTCCTTCTCTGGCCATTTGAAGTGCTGATCCCGCTTTGCCTGCCACCGTGACTGTAACTTTTCCTGAGGCCTCCGAGAAGCCAAGCAGATGTCAGCATTATGCTTCCTGTATAGCCTGCAGAACCGTGAGCCAATTAAACCTACTGTCTTTATAAATTACCCAGTCTCAGGTATTTCTTTTTTTTTTTTTTTTGAGACGGAGTCTCACTCTGTCACCCAGGCTGGAGTGCAGTGGCGCGATCTCGGCTCACTGCAAACTCTGCCTCCCGGATTCACGCCATTCTCCTGCCTCAGTCTCCCGAGTAGCTGGGACTACAGGTGCCCGCCAGCACGCCCAGCTAATTTTTTGTATTTCTTTTTAGTAGAGACAGGGTTTCACCATGGTCTCGATATCCTGACCTTGTAATCCGCCTGCCTCGGCCTCCCAAAGTGCTAGGATTAAAGGCGTGAGCCACCGCTCCCGACCTCAGGCATTTCTTTATAGCAATGTGAGAACAAACTAATACACTTAGGGTATTTTAAACAAGCACTCTCAGGTAATTCTGAGACAGGAATCACTGGTTTATAATACTCATAATGCTCTATACTGGAATAAATTTTTAAGCATTCTGTTAGATATCAAGGAGCTGCACCCTGTCTTCAAAAAAACTCATTGTCTAGCCTATTACTTCTTAACTATAATCACCAATGAAACTTTTTTAAAACTGTGGACTCTGGGATTACCCAAACCCTTTTGAAAAATCATTTCTGGGAATAAGTTCAAAGTGCGCATGTGTGTGTAAAAGTAAACACGTTTACTTTTTCTTAAGATCTGTGGTTTTCTTGATATGTGACTAGGTTTGAGGATCACTAATGTGGGTTCACATTATCCTCTGTTACCCACCTGTTGTCTGGCAAGATTTCTTGTGTTGTTACCTTCTGGTCTAATCATGTTCATTATGGCAGTGGGGAAGCACACTGCCTATTGTCATAGCTGTCACAGTTCTGTGTAGTTAGTCCTTTAAGCTTTACTGGGCCTTGGGTGCAAGTAATTCAGAGACTGTGGAGCAAGTGATACACTTCTCCAGAATTACCTCTACTCCTGGGTTGTTTCTGTCCTGCATTGGTAAAAGCTGGTTAGGCCCCCCTTGATTTCTGTTCTCCCATTGTCTAACACTTCTAACTGTGCTACAAGGCAAGTAGTGGGGTAATCCCAGTGTTGTATTTTGATGTAAACAGAGAATAGTGCTTTAAAATTCCTTAAATAAGAACATCAAAGGCTCCAGAAAAATTTTTTAAGAAATAAGTGCTGACACTCCCATTGCATTACTATAAAACTAAGATTATATTAGTTTTACCCTCATTAGTATATTCTGATATGGAAAATATGAGGTTTCCAAAGAATAAATGAATTTTTACCTGTGATCCCTCAATTTCACGATGGAAAGTGTCTGTAGTTTCTTTGACTAAAGCAGTTAATGCATCATATTCAGGTGATAAACAATTAACTTCTTGCTCTATATCGATATTAATTCCATCCATATATTGTGTTTTGGCCAAATTAACTTTTTGAGCTATCCAGGATGCTCTGGAAGCAGGATCAATGATATCCTTTAAGGATACATCTCCTGTGGAAGAAGTATATATCTTTTGAACATGTATGCAAAAACATTTCATTATTTTGGAAGACTAAGCCCCTAATTGAAGTTTTCCAAATAGAGAAAGAATATACCAAAGTAACAGAAAGCCATTACTCACCAATCTCCAAAACAACCATTATAAATCATTAGTAAAATTGTTCTCAAGTTAGAAGCAGAAATTGTGGTCATCATGCTAATTTGCCAGTTACATTTTGCTCAAAACCATACAGTGGTTTAATTTGTTTAAAAAGATCTGCATTTGTGAAATGAATTACACAGTATCTAAGATTATAGGATCCTAACAAAAACAGATAAACATAAAAGGAAGTTTTTGGAAAGCCAGGACTATAGCAAGTGATACATATAAATTTCCCAATTGCTGGACACATAGATCTGGTAATAGCATACCTTTAAGTACTACTCTGGCTCCTTTTGAATGAGCGTAGCACATAAGTTCTGAGTCATATTTTCCAAATGTTGCCACAGTTGTAATCTGTGACCAGTCATAAGATT